GATGAATGAAGATGAAAGTTATACTTAGATTATATAAAGATAACTTTTCATACCACAATTAGTTTTCCCTTGTTTTCCGGCCTCTTAGCAAGTTCAAGGGCAGCAATTGTGTTAGCTCCGGATGATATTCCAACCTACATATATACATAAACATTAGCTAAGAGCCTAAAATTAATCTACTAAATGACATGAACTCGTAATAATCTATCAAACTAGCAAAGATGATAAGAAGTATCAGAAACCAGCATAATCGATCTGTTCTTAGTTTCTTAGACATCTTACCATAAGTCCTTCCTTCAATGCCAACTGCCTGGCCATCTTTACAGCATCATCACTTTTTACCTGTTAAAAAATGCACAATATCTGAGCACAGGTAGTAATCTTTAACAATACTCGAGCTAAACCACTCGAATCTTACCTCAAGAACTGCTTCCATTACATCCATGTCTAAAATCTCTGGTTTAAAACCAACTCCATTTCCGGTTATAAGGTGAGGACCTGTTTACATTGGCAGAAAATAAAAATCAAGATGCAATGAGTATTTATTCAACTAACATGACTAAAGAAGCTGGAAACTTGTCAGAGTTGAGCAAAACCTGGTTTGCCTCCATTGAGTATGTTGCTTTCAGCTGGTTCAACTCCATAAATCTGTAACATCAGTAAAAAAATGAATCACATTAATCAGTATATGCACAATTCAAAGCAGTCTTACTTAGAACAGACCATGTATATACCTTAACATTAGGATTTTGAGATTTGAGATAGCGTCCAACACCAGACACAGTGCCTCCACTTCCGATTCCCATGACAAAGATGTCCACTTTCCCTTGAGTGTCCTCCCATATTTCAGGACCCGTCGTCTCAAAATGAACCTGTTTATTCAGCCACTAGTTAGCTAGTTTTCTCCAAGGGTGGGACTAATAGTATTGTAACATATAAGTAATTAGCTGATCAGACCTGAGTATTAGCAGGATTATTAAATTGTTGAAGCATAAAACCATCAGGGGTGGAGTCTAGAAGCTGGTTAGCCTTTTTGACAGTTCCCCCCATTCCTTTGTCAGGGTCAGTGAGAATAAGCTCAGCACCAAAAGCCCTCATAGTCACCCTTCTCTCCATGCTTGTGTATGATGGCATAGTCAACACCATTTTGTATCCCTTCATCGCCGCCATGAAGGCCATGCTTATTCCCATGTTTCCTGATGTAGGCTCGATCAACACAGTCTGATCATCGACCCAGCATAACAGTTAACAAATATATTTCCCGGTAACACTAGCTTGACAGTAACTAATTTTAGATTACCTTTCCTGGAGAAATTAATCCTTTTTTCTCTGCATCTTCTAACATTGCCAGTGCAGGTCTACAGTAGATAATATAGTTAGCACATGGTGTCACATATTACTGCCTATAGTAGGTTTATAACATACCTGTCTTTGACACTAGCAGTAGGCTGCATCATCTCCTGCTTAACGGCGATGTATGCTCCAGATCCTTCACTAATTTTACTTAGATAAACTAAGGGAGTTCTCCCAATAAGCTGCAATGTATTGTATATAAATCAATTCAAAACATTTTACAGTAGTTTCATGCAATTCTATCAAGGTATGAAGGATTTCTAGCAAAGGGGTTTTACTATGGCAATTAACTTGCAGAATCTAAAAAACAATTTTTTTTTTTTTATTTTATTTTTTTTTTTTTTTTTTTAACATCAGCAATCTCAGCACATAGCTATCAGTGGAAAATTATGGACCCAATCTAACAAGCTTTAATTAATTGTCCTGTCATACTGTATGTAATAGTGTCAATCTTTCTGATTTTGACTCAGCCAACACTCTAATTTAACTGATAAATCATAGATAATGCGGCACAAATCAAGATAATTGGACATAAGATGAGACACAAAATGAGATACATAAAATCTACTGACAATGGAAATATCTCATTCAACCGCCGCCATTTTAAATAAAAAAAAACAGGGTATACTTGGCCATATGATTATATGAACCATTTACAAGGTCTAAATTTTAAACATTAAGCTAAGGTATCATATCAAAGAAAATTCAGACCACTTGAGCTAAGATAAAAATTGCAAATGATCAAGACATTTGGTCCCTAGTAAAGTTGTAACTGAAATCCAAATTCGTTCTTAGACGGGCCCACTCGGCCCCGGATAGAAAGGGCAATATGGCTCAATGTAGCTACTGGAGTTAAGTGAAAGCTGCCCTTATCTAAATACAGAAAGTACCCAAATAAGTTGGGACACTAATGAGCAATCTCCACCTCATAATGTAAGATTATAAGCTACCTTGTCTTATTATTTGCTAAATTTATCCATCTAAATTAAAGTAAACCATCAACAAGAATAATTCAGAATTTATAAACAACCTCCCTAATTCATCAAGTAATGTTATAAACATTCATCAGCCAATTAAATTTAACAACTAACATGAACCATGATGGGTATATAAACATATGTACTTAATCAAAATATATATACTTTTGAACAGTATTATTATTAAACCAAATCAAGTTCCGCCAAGGCAAGAATACTGAATAACTATAGAAGAATCAATGAATGTACTCACTTGGGAAACATTGGCTTTGATGTTAGTCCCAGCAAAAGGAAAAGGAGAAGAACCAGAATCAGCAACAGGTTGTGCAACAGAAGAAAAAGAACTGCTACTAAAACATCTGATTGTTGTTTTAAGAAAGTTTGAGGTTGATCTTGATCTTCTTATCAAAACAGTTGCCATAGTTTCTTCAGTTTTTCAGCTAGAAAGATAAAATTTTTAGAGAGAGAAAAAGGAATGAGTGGAATGAGCAGTACTACTGCAATAGCAAGAAATCTATTGTTTTTATAAGCATTAGTGCACTGTTATATTTGTTTTTATATGCTTAGTTGGTGAAAAAGAAAGAACTGTTAAATGTGGTACAACATTTTAATGGTATAGTTTATTTTAGGAAATTGAGGGATTGGTTAGTTTATTATTGTGTCATTTTTGCAGAGCATGTGGTTTATTGTGGAGGGGTATGGTCTTGACTATTTGTCGTCATGGATATCGTCAAGTAAATTCAAAAGAAATTGATTAGATACCTTGCACTTAATCGTGGCTGCTTTGGTGAGTGATGATGTACCTTAAAATGATTAGAGATTGAGTGCTAGGTACAATGGAACTAGCCTTAGTTCCTAAAAGCATAGTTTTGAGCGGAGGCGCATTGGAGGGGACAAACGGGTTTTGCTTTTGGGTGAATTTGTTGGAGTCACATTTGGGTGATGAATCATACTCCCTTAGTCCTTTTTTATTTATACTATGGTGTTAATTTTTATGAGAGCTTTTTGGGTCAAATGGTGCAAACAATAAGAAATGAAGGGGGTATTGTATATACTAATACTACTCTGTAATCTAACTTCAAGATGATAAGGATCTATTCAAAAATCGATCACATTATACATTATTGTTGATTAGTTTGTTGAGATAAAATCAATAGAGTAGTATAATGGCACTATGCTTTCAACTTGGTTTTGGGACTATTGCCCTATTCAAAGATTGATCATGTATACACAAAAATATTACTTCCTCCGTTTTCTTTTACTTGCAACACTTTCCTAAAAAGGAAATGTCACAATCCTTGCAAGTTGCAACACACTATAAAAGAAAAGTTACTTTAGGGAAAAACTATACTATTTCCCTTATTTAAAGTACATGGCCCACTAAATTACACTCCTAACAACTACTCATCCCATTTTAAAGTGTATTATATCATGTGAACCCCACATTTCTTAAATACCGTGAAAAAGTGTGTGTTGCATCTAAAAGAAAACGGAGGAAGTATGAATTAGTTGTTGAAATGAAACGGAGTATATATAACGGCACTATAGTATGCTTGGGACTTTTATAAGGAAGACTTTTTCAAAAAATTTATAAGACTTTTATAAGGAAAACTTTGAACATGTTTTCTATGATTAAGCTTGATTACCAATTGAATGTTGGTGTAGTGGTGATTGAGACTACACTTGGTAGAAAGGACTCGTGTTCAATCCCCCACAACAACAATCGGGAGAGGACTGAAACCTAACCACTCAAAACTGATCCCCAAATCCGGATAGGGTGAAGTGGGTGGAACACCCAAAAAAAAAATGATTAAGCTTGATTGGAAATTATTTATAAAGAAGAGTCTTGCCAAACTTTCCACTCAAAATTATTTAATTATATATAAGCTCATGAAAATCATATCCACGAAAATACGAAACTAAGGACTTGTTTGGCATCATTTTTGGTTTTCAGTTTCCTGTTTTTGTGAAAACTAAAAACCAAAAACAAGAAACAAGAAAAAGGTGTTTTTACTTTTCTGTTGTCAGTTTTCAAAATTATCATGATTTTAATAAGTCTAAATATTTTTTGATTCATTATGTGACATATATAATATACTTTTAAAAAAACAAAAAACCAAAAAACAGAAAACCACGGCGATCCCAACAGAACCCTAAGCTTTTATAAATTTAGTTAATGAAGAAGAGTCTTGCCAAACTTTCCACTCAAATTATGTAAGCTCATGAAAATCATGTCCACAAAACTTGGAAATAGCTCCCCATTTGGAAAAGCATTAGAAAGGGGTGGAATTTTCATACCATATTCAAATTAAGAAATCGAATTCTGCCATAATCCAATCAAGTGAACCAAACACAATCTTAGAAACACAATTATTGTTCAAATTGTAATACAAGTAATTTTTAACTCTTACATTGTATTCCCTTTGTCCTTTTATTTTTGCTCCATTGTCATTTTTTGGGTTAAACTTTGTAAACTTTAACCGAAAATTACTGTTAATCTAAAAGAGATAATATAGTCATGAGCGATTTTGTTAGATTCGGCTCATTACATAGTTTATTAATATCACGTTTTTATAATTTTTACATGTATGAAAATGAAAATATGTGCGTTCTTAGACGCGTCTTTGAGACTGTTATAGGGCAATAAAATAAGGACAGAGGGAGTACAAGTTTAATACTTCATATATGTCGAGTTCTTATCGATCAAAATAAAATATTTTAACATATCAAACAAAATATGAGCCTTAAACCAATCCCACTAACTTATTGTGTGTGGCCAGTGTGGCAGCTCAACGCCATCCATGAGTTAGCTCAAATTCCAATACACCACCACGATGATGAGATGAGCCACTTCATCTTATTGCAGCTAATTGACACTGCACACGGCACACCCGTGCAACAGCAATCATCCTGCAATCTTCAACATTACAGATTACCTGATATTACAGTACAATTCACAGAAACCAGCAAATTAATACAGTATAAACAATCAATCAGAATTCAGAAATCAGCAAATTAGTACTCTCTAATTGATTGTTTATACTGTACTAATTCAGAAATCAGTATAACTTAGACCTGAATGACCTATTACACAGTTATACTACTCTCTAATCTCTATTATTGATGTTTTCACAAAAATGAATCAATCAGAAAGTCAAAACCTATAAATACGCCCAAAATTTAACATTCTTCTTCACTTGTAAAATAACCATGACTTACCAAATCACACTCTCTCTTTCTACTTTCCTCTTCCTCACTATATCCCTCCTCACTCATCGCATTCCCAGATTGGCTAATGCCGGCAAAATCCACATTACCGACGACCTCGACGACGTAATCGATGATGAAGAAGACGATGACTGGATAAACTGGGGCAAAAAAACACCCACACCATCTCCCCAATTTGACTTAAATCCTTCTGATTTGGATAAAATGGACCCTTCCCAGATCCAAGCTCAGATGATCAATCATCACACCGGTCCCCTTTTCGGGTTTATCAAGCTCAGATTAGGCGTTCGTCGAACCCCGGTATGATAATTTCTAGACTTATTTCCCATTTCTAGGTGAATTGTAGATTTGCATTTTTAGGTGAATTGTAGGTACTACCTCCGTAACAGGTTATGTGCAACGATTTGACATAAAACAGAGAGGGAAAATGTCTAATCGTTGCACATAACCTGTAATGGAGGTACGGAGTAGTAATTATATCAATTGTACTGATCTGTTGATTTTTGGCAATGGGGATTGTCAGGATGAGGTTTCAGAGATAGCCATGAAATGGAGCAAAGTTTCGAAAACGGGAGGTTTGGAGGTCAAGTTCATGGGGGTGGATCTTAGCACTGTCATGTTTACCATGGAGGCAGGTCAAGACAGGGACGAGGTATGTTCCCGTAAAATAAATTTTGACTTTTGATACTATTCACGAACATTGTTAAAAGAAACTACATTGGTGTGGCGGATATGCTAAAGTTTGAATGGTGAAACATATACAATAATTGACATGTTATTATGAGAAATTTAAGGTATAACTCAATTTCTTAAGAATGATCTCCAATTAAATGTTTGTACCAAAACTCGACTCCTAATCTCCTATTGAATTTATTTGAATACATTGTAAAGGTGCCCTTAGTAAAATTACTGAATTAGATTGTCCCTAAGTGCTAACTGCTAAGCAGTAAAAGGAAGCCTGTAGTTTGGGTACTAAACACGCGACTACAGCGGTTTAATGTGTCATTGTTCATTACCTTAGGCGCGGTTATGGATGTCAACCTTAGATATTGTTGATTAGAAGGTTTTATCATGATTCTACCTTGTTCTTTCCAGCTGAAGGAATTCATATTGGAGCAGCCAGATGCATATGAAGTCAAGATTGGAGATGTTGTTTACCGTAGACCTGGAGATCCTCCACTGGAGGAGGTTATTGAGATGCTACGGGGAGAGACAGGCAACAGTTTCGAGGGGCATGAGAAGGATGAGCTATAGCCGCAAAGGTTTACACAATAGTACTGTATGGCGTGTCTCCTCAGTCCTCAGCTTGGCTCTGCTCCTAACAAAGAATCCTTAACACCTAGCAGTAGATAATGAGCTCCTAGCTTGTAATTTTTCAATTTTTGGGCTTGTAATGCATAGATGACTATTTTAACTATCTATTATGAATAGTTTATTTTGTCAAGTGTAAAACCAAGGTTTTTTCTCTAAAGAGTGAAAGAACAAAGAAAGTGTCATCAGAACTCCAGATATACTCAGTTGTTACAGTGTGTAAAATATCACAGCCAGTTCTGTGATTAGGAATTACAGCAAAAGAAGGTAATTGATGAATTGAAATGTAATGCTGTGCAATAATTGCAGTGAGCAGGACAATGGATAATTACATTAAAACAGATTGTGAATCTATTTTAGCTTCGTACTGAATTCGGACAGCTCAAGCATATGAATTCTTGGGATACTCCTTCCTTCTTCCCTTTCTTTTTGGGTGTTATAGCCCCAGTCAACTGATTATAGGTTTATGATACACATATAAAGGAATAATTAGATGTGATTTTGTTCAAGCAAAGGAAGACAAGAAACACATGAGCAGATAATTTACCTAGATACAAGTTCCAGCCGTCCAACTCTGGCTCTTTTATGACATTTTTTAGTGTAGCAAGTCGGTCCTCTACAAAGCTGTATATCATTTGGATATAATGTTAGACCAAATTTGTCCATAGATCTGATTGTAGGGTTGTAAAAACCACAATTCATTAACAGAATGTTGACTTGGAATCATTATAGTGTTTACCAAGCACACATATGACTAATTACGCCAACTAAGAGCTAAGGATAAAGATCTTACTGAAGAGCAAGTCCCTGATGTTCTGGTTGCTTCTGAAGCATCTTGAGCACTTTCACCTTCGGGCTGAGTTAAGTAAAATATGAGAATGATGTATTAGAAATCCTACAGGGTCATATCTAGAAAATTTCATCAGCAAGGTCTGCATTGACATAGTTCCAGACAAGACATACTTACCCAGTCCCAAGTCCATAGATTCTTTCGGGAGGTATAGTCACACCAGCAAGCTCTCGCAGCAGAGCAACTGCAAATCGGCTCTGATTTGGGACATAAAGCACATAGAAAGAACTTGATTAGTTTATAGGCAGAAAGACACAATATCTTCAATGGGAAATGTGAAGCAGAAGTCATACTAGAATTTCACAACATTTTCTTCTCTATGTTCCATCATTCTATTTCAATAAATTGCAACTTCAACCTTTTCTTGTATGTTTATTTATTGACAGTGATATTAAGTACCTGTTTTGTGGTAACTATGTATATCTTTGAGCTTGCAAATCTTAGAGCATCGGCAACACCAGGATACAGTCTGCAGATAGCATACAAATTCAGAAAATTTTAAGGATAGCACACAAGATCCCTAAGATTCAATTAATGTTACTGTGTATCAACCATTCGCATAACATTCTCAGTGTAGTCTTGAAATTCCCAGCTTGCCTCAAGCAAGTGAGTTTCCACATGTGGGTTCAGTAGCAACAAAAGATTATGACGTCAGAAAATCCTTACAAAGATTCAACTTTTGTTATCACTAAACCTTGCCTAAGCTTCTCCATTTACTCTTTTCAGTGTATATAGTGCTGAATCTGTTGTGCGGATATATGCATTGTGCTTCAGAAATCATTTAATTCAATTCTGCATACCCAGTTGAATGTAGGTAAAACAACTCTACCTACAAAAGGAAAAAAAGCTGAAGCACTTGTGTAAAGTTTTAAATAGTTGAATGGTAAGCAGACAACAATGGAGATATATTAGAAAAGAGGAAAGGTCTCCACAAGACTACATTTCTCTTTTTTACCATCTTATGCTGATCCTACAAAGCAGTCCATTTTACCTCTGAGTGAGGCTCGGGATTAAATGCTAGAGGGGTTATTGAAACATGTTCCATTATGTGAGTATTTATAAGTGATTTTTTTATGTACATCACATATATGCATACTGATTATGGTGGAAAAAGAGTTACCTATTTGCACCAATCCAGGTAGCCAGATCCTTCTCCATCCATTCATCTCTTACTTTCCCAAAAAGATCAATTAAGGCCTCTGTGTTATCCTTCTCGTCCCATGCTTCCATAACAACTGGTTTTAGCTTTGGCCAGTTCTCGAGTATGCCTTCAACGGTGAGCCCCTCTGCAACCTTGTCAATGCAGGACAATAGCTTGTTAGGCTATATAAATGATAGTGAAAATATTGTTGGAACCATAGGCATCTAGGTACTAACTGAAGATTTACGAAGGGAAGGAATTTTGATCTCCAACAGCAACCTCACAAGCAACAATGTTTCATATCCTGTTTCAACCACAGGTCGCACCTGCAACAATATGTAATAATTCAGCATATTAAGGAAAATGATGAAGAGATGAAGATGGTGATTATTGTGCTTAACTGATTTATTGTGCAATCATAATATTAACCCTCCTATGTCTAGTTCATAACACAATATCATCAAAATTTATGCTACAATTTCCGCTTGATCAGCAAATAGCAAAGTGGAAGTTTTACTCTGTCCAAGCTCAAGCTCATACAGAAAACAGAACCAAAAATTTCAAAATACCAGGCTTACAGGGTCTAGTTTAGCATACGATAGATAAGAATAGTTTTGTTTTTGACAGACTTTACAGTCTTGTTATTGTCCAATACTCAAACAAACCAAAGATGGCAGCATAAATCCAGATCCTTTGCAATGCTATTAGTTATTGATTGAGGTCAAAGCCTGTCTAAACACAGCCTACACAGAAGACTCGGATGGTTTAAAAGGTGTATGATAAAGCAGTTTAGCATCTATAAGAACCACAGATCGTTTGCAGGGCAGCTTATAAGTTGGAAAAAAATATATCAGATAGGCCACAGACAGCACCTCATTTGAAGTAATATTAAAAACAAGCAGGTTTCTTACAGGCTAAAAAGAAAAGTAATTGAAATGAAGCAAATTCTAACAAATTTTGAAATAGCTCCCACAAAAATACTTTCTGAATGAGCATCAACAATAATTCAGCATTACACCGATTTATTTAGCATTATACCAATTTAATTATTAGCCTCCGGGAAAATAGAATATGTTCCTGTTGACAGCCAACTCACATACAAAAGCAAACCTGAATGCATTGAATTTCATGATTCCTTTAAGGCAATATCTCACATAAGACTGCCTCGCAATAACTTAGTAACTTTTTACAAGGCGAATCAGGGTGGCAACTCATATTGCCTTGCATAGTACGAATTATATTCCTAAACTAGATGATAGCAGTACAAACAGTATGCTAGTACTAATTAGTAGTTCCGAAACTTGATTCCAAATGTATATTCCTAAAACCACCTATATTACCAAATAAAGATATATTCAGATCCACAAAACAAAATTTATAATTCATTTTAAGATCATAAAAAAAAACATTTTACATTGCAATCAATCAAGTTTGATTTGTAATCATATCACATAATTCTCTCTTTTTTAAAGTGTACTAAGTATAATTTTCACCCAACAAATAATAATAATTTCGAAAAATAAGAAGAGAGAGTTACAATAATCATTTGGTCAACAATCCAGTCTTCCAAGGCAGAGTCAACGCCATCGAATAGAGTCGGCCATCGAACTTTGGCGGCCTGATCAAGCAACAATCACAAAGAATTCAATCGAATTATAAAATCTGAAAATAATCGAATTTAGGATTGAGAAGAAGACGAAGATAAAGAGAAGGAACCTTAAGAGCAGAGATGGCAGTTTCGGTACAAGTATCGCACAAAACACCATCAAAATCAAGAGCGTATAAATCCCCCATTATTTTCAGTGTTAATGATTTTGTCTTGTATTTTGTTGGTAATATTTGAATGAATATTATGGAGCAACTCAGCTGCTCTATTACCCGCCACTCAATCACTATTCAGTGATCACTATTATAAGGTACACAAAAGATTTCCACAAACAGTTTCGGCGGGAGATATTAGTGGGCCCCGTTTCAGTGTAGACTTGTCCTAATTTAAGTATTTAACTACTTATACAAGCTAAACTAGAAATTCCAAGTTTCTCAATAACGTAGCTTTTTTACCTGTAATTTAATGTGGCCTATTATAGATTAACAAGGTCTATCATCACACAATAATTAGTTACAACCTGCTTTTTTGGTGTTTAGAGAGCTACAATGGCAGAGATGAGAATCGATTCCACGATATTCTGAAACCGGGGGGGAGCTCTTACTACTTGAGCTATCCCTCACTCTCATTAATCAATTACAACCTGATGATTTGCTTTAAGTTGTAGTTTTTGAGTTAGATTGTCCCTCGGTAAGCACTGTAGTTCAGTACAGAGTACATCCGTCGTTTGGTACTAATTACGTGAAAAGAAATGCTCTCTCATTTCATCACTCGAAGCTAGACATGGTAATGAATGACAACCTCAGATCGTCTTGTTTATTGAAAGGTTATCATGATTCTACACCTTGCTTTTTCCAGCTGAAGGAGTTCATATTAAGACAGCCAGATGCATACGAAATCAAGATATGAGACAAAATTTACCGCCGACCAGGAGATCTTCCACTGGAGTAGGTTATTGATATGCTCCAAGGAGAGACGTACAAAACTCCAGAGTGGTATGACAAGGATGAGCAATTGAGCTATAGCTCCAAAGCTTTACTACACAATACTATTGTCTGGCGTATCTTCTTGGCTTGGCTCCTAACAACCATTCCTTGGAAGCTGAAAACAAACTCCTAGCTTGTAATTTTCCACTTAACTGATGTGATTGAATTTTGACGGGCATGTAATAATGCATAAATTTTACAGATTTGTTATGCATAGTTGACATTGTCAAACGCAAAACCTTAGTTTCTTTCTGATGAGTTCAAGAACATAGAAAGTGTCAGAAAAACTTCAGAAATACTCAGTAATTACAGTGTGTATCACAGCAAGCTCTATGATTTGGATATACAACAAAAGAAGATAATTGATGAATTGCAGTGTAGTAAGTTTAAGTAGAAATGCTGTGCATTAATTGCAGTGAGCAAGACAGATAAATACATTAAAACAAATTGTGAATCTATTTTAGCTTCTTACTGAATTCGGACAGCTCAAGCATGCGAATTCTGGGGATACTCCTTGCCTCTTCCCTTTCTTTTTGGGTGTTATAGCCCCAGTCACCTGATTATATGATTATGATAAAGCAATAATCAGATGTGGACTTTGTTCAAGCAAAGGAAGAAAAGAAACACATGAACAAATGAAAATGACTGCTTTACCTAGATACAAGTTCCAGCCTTCCAACTCTGGCTCCTTTATGACATTTTTTAGTGTAGCAAGTCGGTCCTCTACAAAGCTGTATATGGATATAATGTCAGACCAAAGTTGCTCATAGTACTAATTGTAGGGTCGTAACAACCACAAATTCACAAATCAACAAAATTGGAAACATTATACTCCGTAGTGTTTTACAAAGCACATCTACAAATTTATTAAGCCAACTATAGAGCAAAGGATAAAGATCTTACTGAAGAGCAAGTCCCTGATGTTCTGATTGTTTCTGAAGCATCTTGAGCACTTCCACCTTTGGGCTGAGTTCAGTGAAAAATGAGAATGATGTATAAAAAAATCCTATGGGACCATATAGATCTAGAAATTTTCATCAGTGAGTTTGGCATAGACATAGTTCAAGATAAAATATACTTACCCAGTCCCAAGTCCATAGATTCTTTCGGGAGGTATAGTCACACCAGCAAGCTCTCGCAGCAGAGCATCTGCAAATCGGCTCTGATTAGGGACAAAAAAAAGCACATAGACAAGTAAGAAAGTCATGAGAGAAAGAACTTGAATAGTTAAAAGGGAAGAAGTCACAATCTTCAATGAAAAAGATAGAAGTTATACTAGAATTTCGCATTATTTCATTCTATATGTTCCACCATTCTCTTTCAATTACTTGCTACTTCAACCTTTTTTTTAATACATTGACAGGGATAGAAAATACCTGTTTTGTGGTAACTATGTATATTTTTGAGCTTGTAAATCTTAGAGCATCAGAAACACCAGGATACAGTCTGCAGATAACATAAAAAGTCAGAAAAATTTAAGAATTGCAAGCAAGATTCCAGATAATATTAAGCATTCGCATAATATCCTCAGAGTGGTCTAAATGAAAATTCCCAGATTGCCTCAAGCAAGTGACCTTAAACGAGTGGGTTCAGTAGCAGTAAAAGATTATGATGTCAACACTAAGCCTTGTCTAAGCTTCCCGGTTTATCCCTTAATAGATGAATAATTTACAATTTTCCCAGTTATTCTCTTTAAGTGTAAATAGTATTGAATCTGTTGATAGGAAATATGCATTGTTCTTGAAAATCATTTTAATCATACACATACCCTATTGAACGCAGGAAAAAAAATAATTTTACCTACAAAAGGTCAAATTGATGAAGCAATTCAGTAAAGAATAACAAAGATATATTAGAGTGAAAAGGCAAGACTACAACCCTCTTTATTACCATCCACTTCAGTCCATCTTCCATTATGTGAGGATTTATTAGCACATTGTTAAGTGCATCACATATATGCCCACTGATCATGATGGAAACAGAAGTTACCTATTTGCACCAATCCATGTAGCCAAATCTTTCTCAATCCATTCATCTCTTACTTTCCCAAAAAGTTCTATTAAGGCCTCTCTGTTCTCCTTCTCATCCCACGCTTCCATAATAACTGGCTTCAGCTTAGGCCAATTCTCGAGTATGCCTTCAATAGTGAGCCCCTCTGCAGCCTTGTCAATGAGGGATGATAGAATCATATAGATTAAACTAATGATAGTGATAAACTGAAACTATTGCGGGAACAATGAATATCCTTGAATATCCCCAATTCTACTCACTGAAGATTTACGGATGGAAGGAATTCTGATCTCCAACAGCAATCTCACAAGTAACAAATTTTCATATCCTGTTTCAACCACAGGTCGCACCTGCATCAATGGCATCAAACTTTATGCTGTAATTTCCACTTGATCAGCAAATACCAAATCGTAATAAAATAAGAAAGTTCTAATCTAATTCAACCAAGAATATTTTGGTGATATAAATGAATATGCAAAATTGGTTTTTTCTGACAACCTAGTAAACAGTTGCACTCTAGCTGCTTCTCTGTTCAAATGCCACATGCAATGGCATCAAACTGACAACAATATACTACCTCCGTTTCAAATTGTTTGCAATGATTAGACATTTTCTACTCACACTTTATGTCAAATCGTTGCAAATAATTTGAAACGGAGGCAGTACAAGGGTTCAACACGGATGAGAAACATCAAACAAGCAGGTTTCTTATAGGCTAAAATGAAAAGTAATTGAAAAGAAGAAATTGCTATCAGATTTTGAAGTATTACACACTAGAAGTTTTCAGAATGTGCATCATCAATTCAGTATTATACTGAATTTTACTCCGTGTTAGTTTCCGGTAAAATAATACATGGTCTCACGTAACTAGTGAACCTAAATACAGAGTTATCCTAACATAATTAGATGAATTCATAGGATTTCATAATTCCTTCAAGGAAAATTCTCACATGAGACGGCCTCACAGTAACTCGAGTAAATTCTTACACGACAATTCAGGGCGGCAGCTAAATGTCTTGCATAGTGTATTAAGGTTTGCTCTTCATCTAAAATATACAACATCAAAACCTAACAATAGAAGTATAAACAGGTAGACAAATTAGTAGTTCCTGAACCCAATTCCATAAATATACGAAATTCGAGCACTAATGGGCCAAATTAAGAACTCAAAACTCCAACTAGATTATCTCATTTCTTGTAAGCTACTACTCGTATATCCCAAAATAAAATTGTACTCACATTTAAAAACCTAATTTACAATCCCTTTTGAGGACATAAGGTCATCAATTTTAAAATTTCTAATGTTGCATTGTAATCAACCTAGGTTTTTTTTTTTTTTTTTAATCATTCAAAGTTATTTCACAAGAACCAAATTGTATAATTCAACTCACAAAAACCTAAAACCAATTTAAAGCAAGAATTTAAAAGAGAAGTAATTACAATATGCATTTGGTCAACAATCCAGTCTTCAATGGCGGAGTCAACGCCGTTGAATAGAGTTGGCCATCGGACTTTGGCGGCCTGATTAAGCAGCAGCAACAACAACAAAATTAGGAATGTAATTGAATTAAAAATCTGAAAAATAAATGAAATTAATCGAAATTTTGAATTGAGAAGAAGATGAAGAAAGAGAAAGAGGCACCTTGAGAGCAGAGAGGGAGCTCTCGCCACAACTATCGCACAAAACACCATCGAAATCAAGAGCGTATAAATCCCCCATTTTTAGTGTTTACTGATTTTCTCTCTCTTCTAATCTCTTGCTAATACGAAGTATGAATCAACATTATGCAACAACTCAACTGCTCCATCACCCGCCACTCACTCACTAATCAGTTTTTTTTGTTGCTAAGGAGAAGGGCTCTACCGGGTCGGAACCTCTCCCAGGTCCTCCCAACCCGGGTTATCGGGCTAGACTTTTGGAAGTGACGGGAAAGGGTAAGGGAATACTTACCCCCAAAGTGTCTCTAGTGGGGCACAACCTCTTAGTTGTGAAATACAAACTTGACCACTAGACTAAGATGTACTCTGTACTTGGTGCTCATTAATCAGTATACCATGTATATACGAAATACTTTTTTTTTTAGAAAATACTCCGTATTCTCTCTATATATATTTTTTTAATAACATATTATGTATATACTTTTTGAAGAAATATTCTTTATATACTTGGTTATTATCCTATTATAAATAAGAGTTATTCAAGGTTTATGGATAAAAAAAAATCCTAAATTCAGCAAAAGTTAGTAATTCTGTAAATCGGATATATACAAAAGATTTTCCTTATTATATATGTAGAGGCACAAACCCAACGAAAAATAAAACACAATAATTCATATATATCAAAAATACTCCTAGCTTAATAAATCGCCCAAACTCAATGAAGCTTAATTAAGGAGAAGAAGATGAAGCCATGAAGGTATGAATTTCCCATTAATTATGTAATTTAATAAGAATGATCATACAAGTAGTATAGATTGTTATTTATGTGTAGGAAATGTGGGATATTATTCGATTATCATTGTACCTTGTATTTTTAGCTTTAATTTTTTTTCCTCGTGGTATTGGCAGCAAGGTATGAAATTGGAACGGTCGACGGCTTGTTTGAGCCCTTTGAGGTAAATTATACTCCGTAGTATACTATTATCTGAAATTTTATTATTGAAATGTAGTTCAATTGAAATATTGATTTTTTTTTTCATTTAAAAAATAAAATATTAATTTGTTGTAGTGTTCATATACTAGGTTAAGTCCCGTGCCATGCACGATAATTTTTAATACTTATCATAATATGATAGATCATGTTAAGTCCCGTGCCATGGCTAACATGTCTAGATCATCGTTGCTCATCGTACTAGTCAACACCTATGTCTGTAATTGTAACAATGTGGTTATATTCTCTGATTTACTAAAATGATGATTTTGTTAATTATATGCATGAAATTGAATGAACAACTAATAATGTTACATGTACATGTGGTTTTAATGGTAGGGTGTGTAAAAGTCGTTTGATTCGTAGTATTGTGCAATGGATAAAAGGCAACCGCCAAATTGATGAGAATATTGAAAATCCTTCTCTTCCTGGAGATATAATTGACTTGATTATTGCAATCCTCATCAAGCAATGTAGTATGAAGGATGCCATCAGATACAGTGTCGTATGCAAAGATTCGCGAGCATCAGAGCACCTGTTGAACCACCTTGGCTTACCATTAGTAAAAAGAGACGCACAAAAAATAAATATATAAGCTGCTTAAATCTTTGGGGAAATGAAGCGTCTCTTAAGCAGGCCGTCTAAAAGACTTGATGGTTCGCCTCAGGCTATGGCTCGATCACCTTGTGGTGTACGCAAGCAAATCTTAGCAACTTCACTAGACGGCTGGTTGATGATTGGTTGTTATTGTCACTATTGTCAATGGCCTCCTTTTCTAACCCCACCCCCATTGATAAGCACCCTCTTAGCCTTTATAACCCGTTTGCCAAGATTTGCTTTGATATACTTGCGTATTCACCACCAACTCCAACTTGTTGTCATTATCAATTTGTAGCTTTCAAGGCGATGTCAGTCTTTCGGTATAATATTTACCCCGATTATTACTTTGTTGTGCTAGCCAGTAGCAACAATAACCTTTCATTGTGTAGGCTTGATGGGCTAGGCCAGTGGTCTTATCATCATCATCGCCATCATTCAACTCTTTGCGATTTATTGTTTCGACAGGAGGAGCAATGTTTGTATGCTTCAGATAATAAAGGAAGAGTTGATATATTCATAATAATAAAGTGTGACAATAAGGAAAATGATGGTGCTAGTATCCAGGATTTTCGCCTTAATGTTGTATCTTCAGTGCAGGTAAAGTTGATATATTATGCCTTCTTAGTTCTTTCTATTTCTTGGGAATTTTCATGGGACATATTACTACCATATTAAAAGAGTAATGAATCACACAAACTATAAGGGGGCGTTTGGTTCGCGGAATATAGGTATGAGGTATGGGTTTAGAAGGACTAAAACTCATACCTTATGTTTGGTTGTCAAAAATATGATTTTCAAACCCATGAGGTATGGGGTTTAGAAACCTTGGGGGGGAGGTGGGTTTGGCCCATTCCATTCCCCTAGGTATCAAATATAAGGAGGGAAGAATGAGGGAAACAGGAAAATTACCGCCAAAGTCCATCTTCTCTTATGCTGCCATATTCATCCTTCACCCTTGAGCTGTTGAGCAGCAATAGTTCAGCCTTCATCCAGGTAATTCTTTTTTTAAAAAAAAAAATTAATTAAAATCTTGTTCTTAAGGTATTATCAGTGACACAGTGATGCATAATTTGTTTCTTAATACGGATGGTACAAATTTTATCATGTTGATTACCCTCCCACGAATTTTCGTTGATTGATTAGAGATACATAAGTATTCACACATAAATTAATGATAACATATGGCAATAGATGAACACTTTTTTGAAGATGCTTGTGATTTGACTGAACGATTGAATGTTGTACTGCTGAATTTGGATAATCATATCTCTTTGGTTGGACTACATGTAAATTCCATGTTTGGCATTCCAGTAAATCTTGTTCTTATTATATGATATTTCCCTAATTTTTTTTTCACTTTTTCTCCAAATTTGTTGTATAATTATTCTGCATAGCTATATATTTTTATCAAAGTAGTCATCTTTTGTGTGAAATTTATTGAATTTTATCATAATAATTGTATATATTTAGCAGATTTTTTATTAACTCAAAAAAAAAATTACCGACATATAATTGTGAAATAGTTTTGATGTATGAAATGGAGTGTTCATTATTGCGGGTCCACTATTGTGAGCTATCTTTGATTTCATTAGCGTATATACATACTACCTGTTGACTTTTCTTTTTTAATTCTTTGTGTGGATTGCCGATTGCATGCCTTTCTTTGGCTTTTGCTCTTGTATTTTTCTTTTTGCTCCCACCAAAGGTTGTATATATATTAGGCAAAAAGGCACTTAGACAATGAAATAAGAATATTAGGAAAACATATGAGTAAATACTAATAATCAATTTATAGGGTAATCCTTTTTGTGTTGTGTTTTTTTACAGAAATGGAGTCATGTGGACTATCCTTGTTAAGGAAAAAGAGAAAGCGACAAACAGAACTACTTATATCTTTAATAGTTATAATAAATTTCATGATTCTCATGTATTTCGTGCTACGTAGTTTAGGTGTAACTCTACATAAAATACAACGAATTAGAGATAAGAAACGTAATAGATTAGTTAATTTAAACTCGTTGATTAGAGATAGTGATGTTGCCTGTAGGAGTGAATTGCGTATGAACAAACATACTTTTGGTGTACTTTGTGAGATGATAAGCGATATTGGTGGATTGAGAGGGACTAGAAATATGAGCTTACAGGAGATTGTAGCTATGTTTTTGTATACATTATCTCATCATAAAATGAATAGGTCCATAGGACATTACTTTTATAGGAGTGGAGAAAGTGTTAGTAAACAATTTAACCTTTGTCTCCTTGCGGTTCTAAAACTACATCATCACTTGCTCAAAAAACCTACACCTATTACAGAAGATTGCGAGGATAGTAGATGGAAATGCTTCCAGGTATATTTAACATTATTAAAATATGATAAAAAAAAAAGCTCATTCTTTAATTGATTAAAAGCAATGTTCTATATACATCCTATGTAAATACTCTAGTGTATTTTCCTTATAATTGTAGAATTGCTTAGGAGCTCTAGATGGTACATTTATTAAAGTTCATGTTCCAAATGAGGATAGAGGAAGGTATCGAACAAGGAAAGGAAACCTTGCAATGAATGTTTTAGGTGTTTGTACACCTAACATGGAATTTGTTTTTGTCTTACCTGGATGGGAAGGCTCTGCACATGATGGTCGTGTTTTACGAGATGCAATTTCGAGGCCTAATGGTTTAAAGGTGCCTCAAGGTAAACCATGTGATTAAAAATAACCATATGATAAATAACAATTTTGATTACTACAATTAATAATGACTTCAATCTATTCTATGATTTTCAAGGTTGTTACTTTTTGGTAGATGCTGGCTACACTAATTGTGATGGGTTTCTTGCACCATATAGAGGGCATCGTTATCACTTGAAAGAATGGGGGGATTAAGTGCTGGGGAGTACTTCAACATGAAACATTCTAAAGCTAGGAATGTAATTGAGAGAACTTTTGGTTTGTTGAAGGGAAGGTGGGCAATTCTTAGAAGCCATTCTTTTTTTTTCAACTCGCACACAAGGTCGCATTGTTACAGCATGTGCTTTATTACACAATCTAATTCGAAAGCACATGCCCACAAATTTTGAGGTTGATGAGTCATCAGATGAGAGTGAGAATGAGGATATTGGTGATAATGTTGAATACATTACTCAAGTTCAACCATTAAATGCTTGGATCGACTTTAGGAATAATTTAGCGCAAACTTTATTTAATGCTTGGAGAGCTAGGCAAAATAACGAAACAAGATTTTTTTTTAATGAATAATGACTCTCTGTAGTCTTGTCCTTGTGTTTGGTGTTTTGTGAAACGATCTTTGTATTTTATGATTTTTTGTTTCTCATCTGTGTTTTATGTTAATCAAGGGACATGATATTTTTATTTAACTTTTAATTGCTTTCATTATGTGATACAATATTGCTTCCTACATATCATAAATAAAATATCTGGTTATGTATTCTTACTTAATTGATTAATTAGGATGGCTACAAATGGTCAAAGTTCTCAAAGTGGAAGAGGTAAGAATAAGCGCTTCTGGAAGAAAGAGGAGGAAGAGGCTTTGATTGATTGTTTGTTGGAGTTAAGTTGTGACCAACAATGGAAAGGAGAAGGAGGGTTTAGGAATGGCTACTTGAATCAGTTGGAGCTTATGCTGAACACTAAGTTCCCTGGATGTGGTTTAAAAGCCATTCCTCACATTGAATCAAAGTTCAAATGGTTCAAAGATAAGTATGCAATAGTTGCTGAAATGGTTAACAAGACATCCGGGTTTCAGTGGGATAAGGAAACTAGTACAATACAATGTGAGAGACAAGCTTATGATGATTTTTTCAAGGTAACTAATTTCTTTATTTATTTTTTAAAATCTTGCATTTTACTTAATCTAATATAACATATAACTAATGTTTTTAGACTCATCCTAAAAATGGAGGATTATGGAAGACTCCTTTTCCTTATCTTAGCAAGCTAGATGATATATTTGGTGTTGATAGAGCTAATGGGCTTGCGGCTGAGCTGCCTGAGGACTCTATCCATAACCTTGAAAAGGACATTGTTCACCTTGATAATGATAGTGACAATGAAGAGTTATATGATACTCTTTCACCTGGTTTAGCTACAGATTATACTCAACCCCAACCTCCTCCTGCTAAGAGAATGAAAAAGGAAAAGACTCCAAAGACTAATGAGAAAAAAAGAGCTACTCGATTTGAAAATTTATCATCTATTGACAATATGGCAGTTGGATTCCCTGGTTATATGAAAGATATGAATAATCATCTTGCTACTATTGCGTCTGCCATGAGTACAACACAAGAGCGTGAACAAGAGATTGTTGAACAAAAGAGAAGGCTATTATCTGAGATTGTTGAACAAAAGAGAAGGCTATTATCTGAGATTGGAGGTTTGTCTAGAATTACACAAGCTGAAGTTATAAGAGCTGCTAGTTTGTTTTCATCAAATCCTAGCCAAATGGAGATTTTCTATTCAAGTCCTAATGATGAATGGAAAAAGGAGGTGGTGCTTGACCTTTTGAGTCGTAATGCTTGAAATAATCTGCCTATTTTCATGACAATTTGCCAAATGTGATGGTTTATGAATTTGTTTTCTTTGAATAAATATGTTCACTTGGAATTTTAAACAGGGTTTTTGAGTGTTAGTTTTGATATTAAATAATTATCTCAAGTATTGTGATAATTTTGAATGTGTCTGTTTAAAATTTAACTATTGCGTTGTAGTTATTGTTCTTAGAGAATTGGTTTTGCTTGTTAAATTAATTAAAATAAAGATTTTTGAAAAAATAGAGTTGATTCCTCATTCCAATAAATTTCTAACCAAACAACATGTAAGGGGGAGAGATCTCATTCCAGAATTGAACCAAACACATGGTATTAAGTATCAAGTTCCAACCCCATACCACTTTAACCCCATTCTTAATTCCAAACCCATACCACTTTGCGAACCAAACGCCTCCTAAGAGTGTTACGGAGTGTTACCTAAATGAAGTGTCTTACCAACAAAGTGTTGGCTTATTACTTGGCAAGGTTTTTTTTTACACAGATCAAGTGAAGGTACTTGGGGTAGGGATTATATACATTTACCCTCCTATCTACTCCCAAGTAGCCAAGTGTCTGACGTATAAATACTTGAGTGTAGACATTCCTAAATGAAAGTGTGTTGTAATAATTGATTGTGAGGCGATTTGAAACTTGACTTGCTTTTTTTTTGTGCAGATTAGAGTTAGTGTGGCCAATGCACTTTCGTTTTCGACGCACTTGGTTGAGTTTTGTGGACATGTTACGGTGGTAACTGGGGTGGAAGTTTGGCCTCGAGAAACTAATAAGGTGGAATTGTACATGCTAGCCAATAATAAGGGTATGAGAGTGAGTCGACGGATACATTCAATTGGAGATCATGCTCTGTTCTTGGCCATGTCGAGAAGTGCTTCCTATTGCGTTTTAGTGAACGAATCATCCAAAGTGCAACCAAATTGCATCTACTATCATGTCTGCGACCAATACAAACATATAATCTTTTCCTTGGAAGATGGAGCGATCAATACCACTTATTATTCTAAAATGGGATTGAACGAGCACGGGGTTAGACTAAATAATCCCAGGTTTATTGCACCACCACACCGCTGAAACCTGCACCAAGTTGTTGAGTTTAATTAACATGAGTACCATCTTCGTTAAATAAGCCAACCTTTTGATTAACTCAGAATAAGTAACTTTTATTAGATATTAACTAAAGTTTGGACGCTTTTTATAACTTCTATTTTGATTATCTTTTTTTATTTACATTATGATAAACATGACTATGAAGAATCTTTAGATTTTGTTTAAATTGTATCAATACATATTAGTTGCTATTTTATTAGAAATTTTTTAATGTCACAAATACAAATAGTAGTATATTACCCTAATTATTGCAGCTAATATATACGCCCTCCGTTTTTAAATACTTGCTCCATTTCTCTTGGACACAAATGCCGATGCTAATCTTTGATCACTAATATCTTTAATTATCAACTAGTTTTGTACCCGTGCGATGCCCAGGTTGTTTTTTAAATTTTAAAATAAATTTTTAATCTTTATACGATTTGCTAGATTGTGAACTATATTATTTTAACCGATCAATATATATTATAATGTATGTTTTACGCTTTGAACTATTTCCTTTGTCCAAAAAATATTATAATACAAAAAATAATTTATTTGATAATTTTTGAGAATTATAATCTAATATTTTTTTTAATAATTTATAATTGAATTTGTACATTTGAAATACTGGTATTTTATCCAAATAGAATTCTAATTTAATTTTTTTTTATCTTATGAGGTTTATTAAATCTATCCAACGTGGCGCGACACTTGGCGAAAAGTTATAACGCCAAGTGTCGTTGCCTCGTGACCTGGCTAAAAGTTTAGCTTTATATATTAGTTTTATGATAAGCATAAATTCTAACAATTGAAAATTAATAATTTATAAGTAGGATAAATGAATACGATAGTGTAAAAAATAGAAATGGAGCAAGTATTTAAAAACGGAGGGAGTAACGGAGTTAAAAAGTAGTATTTCGAGTGTAGTTTTGTTATGGAGCATCGTACAGTGTTATCTCTCTTTGCACGCAAACACCATTGTATAACAAAATCCTGACTCCCAATACTAGGTCACCTCTCTGATTACGTATTTACGTGACAAACACTCACCGACGAAAGCCGGTACACAAAAACTCCAAACCAACCTGTCACCGGTTCTACCGGTTTTCCTTTATCTCATCTCATCCTGATTTACTGTATTTATTATTATTGTTTTTTTTAATTTAATTAACTCATTTATAATTTTCGCATTTCCCAAAGTCAGTTTCTATCTCCTACTCATCTTCCCCTTTTCTCCGGCGATCACCTTCGATTTCTATGTATGTTTTCATTTTCTCTGTCTTCTCTAATTTCTTCAATCATCGGATTATTACATATTTGAACCACTCAATTGTTGTTTGATTCAATTATTTCTATTATTGGCATCAGTTTTGTTGTTTGGATTACTTTTGATTTGATTTGATTTGGTTTTCATCTATTAGGGTTTCATTTTTTCGGATTTATTTGATTTTTCCTATGCCAGTTTTTGTTAATTTTAGGATGTTTATTGAATTTGTGAATATCTGACTGAATTGAATGATGTGAAGGATGTTTTAGTGAATTTGTGATTTGTTGAGAGCATGGATGTTGATGTTCGTTTTTGTGAGCTTGAAGTTCGAATTGCTGTTGTCGCTTTCGATTGATATGCAGATTTCTGATTGGATTTTGCTGATTTATATTAGCTTTGATTGATTGCTTTCATGAACGAATTTGATGGTAATCGAAACAGTATATGAGAAGGTTTATCATTTGAATGCATATGAAGTTGGTAATTGAGTGCATTCGAATTATGGAATGAATATTTGGGCATTACTTGATGTTGCACCTTTGATTCTTTTTACATGATTGTAAATTTATAATCATCATCTTGTGGCCTTTTGATAATGATTGTTGCTTGGTGAATGAGAAATGTTGCACAATATGACACTTTTAGTTTTCTTTGAAGCCGTGTAGTGTTGATCTTGTTCGTCAGTCGGAGCTGTGGTTTGTTGTTTTGATGTCCTAGAATTTAGTTAACTCACTGGTTGAAGGTTTTTGTTTTTTTTTTGGGCTTTGCGGCTTAATGATTGTTTCAATTGTGTTGTATATGGTGGAATTATAAAGTTTTTTTTTTGGGCTTTGCGGCTTAATGATTGTTGCAATTGTGTTGTATATGGTGGAATTATAAAGTTTTTTTTTTTCAATTATCTAACATAGTTTTACGGATCCTTGAATGATCTGATAGTTTGATAAATAAGATGGTTAATAATGACGATGGAGAGGAGACCACCTCTCAAGGAAATGAACAGAATGTTTACAAGGCTGCTGAAAGTGAAGAGGGAGAGGAAGCCATGCCACGTGGAAATGAATGGGAAGTTGTGTCACTAACAGCTTCTGCTTACGCTGCTGCTCCTGGACCAAGAGGGGATGAATCAATTCACGAGGAGAAGGATCCTACATTAGGTGAAGATTATGAAGCAGAAACTTCTAGAGCTCTTTTTATGTCTGGTCACTTTGTTTTTCCACCAAGTCAGCATGAAAATTTGCCCATAGAATCTGAAAGCCTTAAAAATTCCAAAGGAGAGGATGATGTTGGTGACCTGAATGTGGCTAAAGAGAGTAAAGCTGAGCAGAAGGAAGAGGAAAACTGGAGTATAGAAGGATTGAATGTTCCTGAGGAGTTTCTTGGTATTCCATTTCTTGAAGAGAAAAGCAGTAGGCTGCTATCAGTTCATGGTTCAGGATTTGATGATTCGACAACTCTACATCGACTGGCTGTTGATGACAAAGAACAAAATGTGTACGAGGCTGCTACATTTAGCTCATTTAACAGCGGAACAGAGATTGGTGGATCAGCCGCTTATGGTGAAAGTTTAGTTGAGAATTTTGATGAGCCATCTGACCATGGCTTAGATCCTTCATCTTTTATATCGAGGCCACCCAAGTCTGGAGAAGAAGAGTTTGGAGAAATCGATGACTCTGGGCTCCCTTGTGGGGCTTGGTGGAAAAGAAGTGTTGCCTCTTTATGTGCTCAAGTTAAAGATACAAATGCATTTTGGTCTGTTTTCGTTGCTGCTGCTGTGATGGGTCTTGTCATACTTGGGCAACGATGGCAACAAGAGAGGTGGGAGGTTTTGCAACAAAGGTGGCAGCTCAGTGTTGGCAATGAGGTATTGTTTGCTTGTTTGTTTGTTACTTTTAAGTTAAGATATGATTGATGATTATTTAATTCTTAATTCAGCTGTAGAAATGAAATTACAATTGTAGCTGTCCTTAAATAACAGCCTAGATTGCTATTGGAGAACCTGTGTGACCATATGTATTTATTTTATTCTCCCATGTTAGATAAGGAAATCTTTTTCTACTGAAAGGTGAAACAGTTTATAGGTCCTCTGCTGAAATTTAAGTAGATACAAAACAGTAGTTGTAGATAGTAAGTCCAAAAGATAGTTACTTGCCAAGAAACGTTAGAATTTAGAATATATGCTTGCAGATGCATGGTACAGTATTATTCCTTTCCAGCCGTATTCTCGTACATTTTCTCTGTTACACTTCCCAAGGTCGAATTACAAGTTTGCAGGTGCTCTAGTTCTTCAATTACTCTAATCTACTTATGAAATTCCTTATAAAAACTGCAATTGTTGAGGTGATGGGTCCACACTCCACATTAAAGAAGCTATTTTGTAGAGAATCAAGTGATAGGACATTTGGTGCCAGGAGAATTATTCTTAGGTCTTTGTCATATTTTAAGTTGTATTCTGGTTTTTGGCATGGAAGTTGTCTTGTTGGAGTTAGCAATTTAAACAGAAGTGGAACTTGTAAGGGGGTAATTAACTAACTATAGGTGTAAATTAAGTGGGGTACTAAAAAAGTAAGAAGAGTTACTAATCTCCTGTCTTATTTATGAGAGCAAAATGCAAGTGCTATGAACTGATTTAAAAACTGCCTAGGGGTTATCTATGAAGCACGAGGTCTTGCTAACTTATTGTAGTTACACCTTGGAAGGCTGCTCCCTGATAGCCGGGAGAGTTAGTCAGGTTTCAGTGAGAATGTGAGATACACACACCGACATTTACCCAAGAGAGAGTTACCATAAACTTGACCTGCGAGTATCTAGCTTATAGGCATGATGCACTGCATAGCGGTAACTTCTCTTCTGCTTCCCATGAGGCTTCTTATTCTCTCTTCCCGTACTACAACTGTGCCATAATGAAAGTAAGAGGAGAAGACAATGGTGTAGATTCCCATGTAAAACTGAACTCTTCCTCTTCCTCTTCCATCCTTGTTGCAATTCTCTTTGAATCAGGCTCCCAATAAGCACTTCTCTTAGGAGAATTCTGAGACAATTCAAAGTAAGATGCCGAAAACTGTATTCGTCAAAGGGTGACCACCAAGAAAAGTTCTGCTAACGTGCACATTAATGTGTGTGGGTGATCTATATTAATCTCAATCCCTGAACCAACCCAAATATCTTAAGAAAAATTTAGGGCAATTTTATTTCGTTCTGAATCAGGTGAGTAAATTGATTATTCATTTAGTGTAAAATTACTGTTTTCTCTCAACTGAGAGAGAGAGAGAGACTTGTATAGGATTTGATCCTGAACTAATGTCCCTTTTTTAATGCCAAACTTTTTGCCAGTGACCACAGCTGCTGCTTAGTTGCATGAGTTTAATATACACTTGTATAGGAATGGATAGAATGTAAGTATTAATATATGTGATGGCTCATGGTTAACATATGTGAATTTATCTTGACAGAAATCAGGAAGGATATTATCACGCCTGAAAGATGTGATTGTTGGAGGAAGTCGCCGAAGTACATATATCACTGCTGCCCCAGCTGACCATTGAGATGATGACGACAATTGATGATTGTGAGAGAAACGTGAGATACGACATACCATGGGAGATTGATGCTGGAGTGTGATGATTCAGATGATATTCTCATGGAGCTAAAATAGCTTTTAATACTTTTGCTTGATTTACGTTGCTGTATTATATTATTAGCGGGATTATAGCTTATGGTTCCTGGAAAATGGCCTTTCTGAATGGAGATGGGAGTGGTCTGAACTTAGCTTAATTGCAAAAAGGTCTAATTACTTGGTAAAAATTCTGCACATGATGGTTTAAGCTGTACAGTAATTTTGTGTTGGCATTTGTACAATTGTCATTGTGAAATATGCGGGCATTTTCTGCCTAAGATCTCATTTGGGGTTTCAAATTTCCAAATACAAAGTAGACCATTTGAACAAGTTTGTTGGATAATTTTTAAATAAATTGTATGTATTTATAACCTAAGAGCTTTGCACAATTTTTTTATTTTGTACGATAAACATGAATTGTGTGTTATTTTTTACTTTTTCTTTGTTGTACCATTATTCCATTATTGCCTAATGAATGTAATTATTGCATGCAAAAATTGGTCAATGTAACCTAAATAAAATAGAGCTGCACAACTTTAGATCATGTTAGAGGTGATAAAAAATTGGTCTGAGCTGGAGCTTAACATCAATTTTCATGCTCAAAGCCTCAAAACACGCTAAAAGTGGCAGGCATGTTGGGGGCAGGCATGTCGGGACAAAGTTGGTTTTTTTGGGGGGTTTTATCAAAAAAAAAATTCACAAAATCTCATATATGGTTGGCCACACAATGTGTACGAGGTTATTTATTCAGGGGTTTACTTAGTCAAGTAATATTTACTCAATTGGTTAGAATTTACCCATTTAGTGTTGTGGGGTGTACCCAATTAGTCTAAGGTGCACCCTTGTGCACCTTAAATAGGTGTAACAACGTAGCCCAAAAGCCTAATTACACACAACCCAATTAAAAAAAAGCCCTAAAACTAAAAAACACGAAAACTGCAATACACCCACCCACACCCAATAAGTGTATCAAAAATCTTCTTTTTCTATATGATTTTCTCTCTCCTCTTTTTCACTTTCTCTCTACTCTATTTCATTCTTTTACTAAAAAACTGCAAAAACTTCAATAAACATTAGGAAAGAGATGCAAAATCAAAAGGATCCTCCCCAAAATGACAATTTTATGTAAATTTCACTTAATTTTGTTTGAATATTGTTCGAAATTTATTATTGGAATTGTAAAAAAAAAAAATAGTGAAATCAAACGGATATTTTATGTTCACATTTCGAAATGCATATGTTTATAATTTGAATTCTTATGTTCATATTTTGAATCCGTTTGTAAACTTTCTGAAATGCTTATATTCACTTTCTAAATTCATATGTTCATATTTTTTTATGTATATGTTCACCTTCTGAAATGCTTAATTATGTTCATACGCATTCAAAAATGAACCAATGCATATGTTCATATTTTGAAATTCATATGTTCATATATTTTAATACTTATGAATTATGATGCATATGTTTCATAATCATATTATTTTTATTTCTTCAATTTTTAATGTTCATAATAAAATGCCTTATATTCATAATAATATTTTATATGTTCATAATGTAAGTATTTGGTGTTCTCATTAAGTCTGTTTATGCATATCTTCTCTCTCTTAATGCATATGATCATATTTTTTACGCATATGTTCACCTTTTAAATGGTTATATTCACTTTAAGGAAACCAATGCTTACGTTCATATTTTGAATTTTTATGTTTACCTTCTAAAATGCATATGTTCATATATTTTATGCTTATGTTCACTTTCTGAAAAGCTAATGTTCACATTTAAGGGAACCTATGCATATGTTCATATTTTGCATGATTATGTTCATTGATAAAAAAAAATACAGAAAATCAAATGAAATTCATACACAAATGAAATTGATCGAAGCTTTAAAAAAAAATCAATTCATATGAATTTAAAAAATCAAATAAACAACCAATTCCATATAGTAAGTAACATATTCAATCGTTAAATCGAAAAACTGAGAAAAATAGAAAAAAAAATAAAAAATAAAAAATGAGGAAAAAGGAATTAAAGAAGGAAGGAGAAAAATAGAGTATAATTTGTGAATTCAAATATTCATATACACCTTAATCAATCGAAATTAAAGCACAAAATTGAAATTCACACAAAAATTCATACTTAATAACTACTTTCATGTTGTAAGAAACAAATTCAATCAAAAAAAGTGTAAAAAAGGGAGAAAAATTAAAAAAACAGAGGAGAGAGAAAATAAAAAAATGAAGGAGAAAAATAAAGGAGAAGAAACCTAATGTTCACTTTCTAAAAAGCTAATATTCATATTGTGTTGTTGTTACACCTATTTCTAGGTGCATGATTGTGCACCTAAGAATATGTGGGGGTGTACCACATAAAAAATGCACCGAAAAAACCCGTCTTTTTTTTTTGGGCCGGGCTAGCAAGCCAGACTGTAGTGAGATTATTTATGGCATACAAAGGAAAAAAAGAGGGAAAGTATCCCGCTTTCATTTATTTTAATTTTCGAGGCTTTCTAGGGCTCCAATTTGAGGAACAAATAAGCAGGATTCCGGCCAAATTCAAACATTTCCGACGAGAAATCAACTTCAAAATCCCTGTTTCTCTTTAGGTAGGTTCGTCTTACTTTGATTCATTGCTTAATTTCCTCACTCACATACTTACTCTCTTCCTGCGGCGTCGCAGCTTTGAATTAGGTTTTTTTCAGGGTGAATTTGAAACTGAACGATTGATGTTTAGTTATAGGATTATCTTTCAATTGAGGATTTGGGTATTGGATTAACGTATTGAATTTGGTTAATTAGCAGTTGAATTCAAATGGGTAATGAAGAAACCCCACAATCTAGTAGAAGAACAACAAGATCTTTGGCTTCTGCTGATAATTGTTCAGAAAAACCTAGAAAGAGTATTTCTTATAAACCAACAGTTTATGATTTTATATATAGTTCTAGAAATGGTGATGATAAAAATTTAAGCTTGGATGATCTTATTTCTAGCTTCCCTGGTAGAAATACCCAGATTACTGAGGTTTTAGGTCATTTGGGTCCCTTGAATTCTCCTATGCTTCCTTTATTCATTTATGGTGGTACTTCAACCGGGAAAACTAGCATCATCCTTGAGATTTTTCGATATCTTAAGCGGCCATTCGTGTATTCGAGCTGTGTTTCGTGTTATAGTCCTAGGATTTTGTTTGAGTCTATATTGAATCAGTTGGCATTTCATAAAAGGAGTGAGCAAAATGGTTACTTGAGTGTGAAGAAGTGTGATAAACCCTCTGATTTTGCCAACTTTGTTAGAGAAGCATTGGTTAGTGTTTTGGATATTTTGAAGGGGAAATCTGCCAAATTGAGTTCGAAGAGAAGGTCTATAGATGATTTAGGGAATATGATTTACTTAATTTTCGATGATTTTGAGCTTGTTCGAGCCTGGGATAAAAGCTCTACTGTTTTGCCTTTTCTGTTTGGTCTCTATCGTATGCTGGGTTTGCCTGAAGTTGGTATAATCTTCTTAAGTAAAGTGTCTCCTGATGTTTACTACACAAATTCTGGTCATTTTGAGCCTGTCTCTCTATATTTCCCTGGATATACGGAGAAGGATCTTCGTCAAATTTTCATGCTGAAAAGAGAAAAACCAGAGCTTAATTCCTGTTTCCTAGAGTAAGTTTCACTTATACTAGATTTAAATTTTGTTAAGTTCTTCTAATTATTGAACTTAATGATTGGTAATGAGGGTATGTTTGTGCTCATGTGATTGTGTTCTTGCCTACAGTATTGTTCTGAAGCCTTTCTCTAGAGTCACAAGGCAAGTTGATGAATTATCTGTCGCTTTCCATCCACTTTATGAGAGATACTGTGAGCCCTTGAATGACCCAGGATCTAACTTTAGCTGGGAAACCAAACAAAAAAGAGAAGATGCAAAGCGAAGACTTTTTAGTCATCTTGTGCCACATATTCGCCCTTCTCTTAATGAAGTTTTTAAAATTTCATCACTTGATGTTGAAGCTAAAACAAATGTAGTGAAGGGAAAGGCAGGTGCAAAGAAGTTGGGAGCTCAGGATGAAGAGTTGGATTTCCACATGTCTGTTTCAGCAAAGTATCTTCTTATTTCAGCATTTCTTGCTTCAAGAAATCCTGCTACTCTTGATGCTTCATTTTTTGATTCAACCGGAGGTCAATCTAATGGGAGAAAGAAGAGAAAGTAAGTTTTTTCCAAGCTTTCAATAAGCAGTGCATCATTAGTCTTGTCATTCTGAGTTAGGTCTGTCAATTCAAATGGCTGTCATTTTTATGATGAGGGTTGGCTAGTGGCTATAGCTTAAATAGTGAGACATACTTGATATAACAATATTGCCTGCTAGTGTGTATGTCGTTTCATGTATGGGGATGTCTTCCCAAGATGCTAACATTCTAGAGTTTGCCCGTCTTTTTTATGATTTTTAGCCACCCATAGTATTCGACAGACCTGCAATATTGGCAATATATCTGTCTTGCTTTGGTTCTAAGCAAAGCTGTTCTGAAAAAGGTGTATGTGTGCGTGCATGCGTTAGTTTTTCTCATATAATGACTCTGCAGGTGTTCTGAGAAGTCAACGGAGCAGAAGGAAATGGCAGAGCAGGAATTACTTTTGAAGGGCCCTGGGACTTTTCCATTGGAAAGGTTATTAGCTATCTTCCAGTGCATCACATATGGGATAGATGAGTCTGTTGACGAAGAAGTGCATGATGATGATGATGGCTCTCTGGGAAACCAAGGAGCTCAGAATGACCTCACTTCTAGTGTTCTTTTGCAAGTGTCCAGTCTCTGTAATGCTAATTTTTTAAGTAAGGGAAGCAGTTGTCCACTGGAGGGCTCAATTCGTTACAAGTCTACTGTTTCTGAAGAATTGGCTGTGAAGGTAACTTTCTGATGTGGTTGATATTGAACAGAGTTTCTTTCTTACAAATTTATGTCATTTTATATGCTCTTTCCTTTTAAATCTGCTCAGATTGCAAGAAGTCTCAAGTTTCCCATTTCAAGATACCTGTATAGACGATGACCTGGCTTTCTTATACTGATCCACACCAGCAAAATGCTGCATCTCGCGATGGCCATTGGAAAAATTGACATACGATGGCACTTTTTTGTTTAGACTCTTTCTCACGAATTTGGCTCACGAATTTGGAAGGCTGTTTGGCCTCAACTCTTTGCGATAGTTTGGGAGGAAGTCTTGCATAGTTAAATATAATATTCACAGGCAAAGGGTGGTAATGCCCATCTACAGGTATATGCTCCAGCTGCTGTTAGACTCATGTAAATGATTAATTGCACTTGCCTTCTTAAGCTACTTGTTACTTGTATATTTTCTTTCTGTGTTGGTTTTAGTTGCCTAAAACTTAGACTG